TTAAAGAATTAATAATAATAATAATAATAATAAAAAATGTTAAATAATTCTTGAATACCTGGGATAAATCCAGTTTGGTCATGGCCTATCTTTATTTTAAAAAAAATATTTCTGGATTTCATCTGCTAGTATTTTATTTAGGGATTTTTCATCTATGTTGAAAAGTAAGATTGACTAACAATTTTTCTTTTCTACTGCTGGCTTTGCTACCAAGGTTATACTAGCTAAATTCATAAATAAGTTGGGACATGTAACTGGTGACATCTCAATCTTGGCTATGAGGCTGAAAGTGTTTCTTGTAGGAGAGATTCTGTGTCCTTTAGTGACAGCGATTAGCATCTCAGTCGTCAGTAACAGTACCAAGAATGAAATAATATATTTTCAAAGAAGGTTGGAGAAGGCTCCATTACTCTTGATAATACAGAAATGCTCAATTTACTGTGATGTACCCAATAAGAATTTTAATACATCTCCAAGTTTACAATTTATTAATACATTGTTTTGGTTTTCTAGTGTCAGCTCTAACAGGAATCTAGCACAAATGGATGGTTTCAACAAACAGGGATTTATTCTCTTACAGTTTAGGAGGCTATAAGTTTGAGTTCAAAGTGCCTGGGGACTGGGTGAAGGTCCCTTGACCTTGGGCTTCAGTTCTGCCTCTTGCTCCTGGTCCACTGGAGCTGGAGGCATCCCTTAATCAGGGAGCTGCTGGCTGCTGAGGCTGACAAACCCAGCGTTTCGACAAGTAAAACAGCACAGTCCCAAGATTATCAAGCAACACAGCAGGCCACCGGTTCAAGTCACAAACAGTTCCAAGATCAGCAGACAACAAGGCAGGTTACTGAATGAAGACTCAGCTACATGTAGGGTGCAACAGTGCCAAAAAGGCTAGAGATCTTTCTCAAATCTGCTTCTTATACACTGGAAGTAGACCTCATCCCTGAGGCAGCTACTTAGCTGCTCACAGTAGATTCCACCATGGAGTTGATTACCAGTCTCATATGGGGAATAACTACATCCAGCTGCCAAGCTGACACAGAACTTAACTACCACATTACACATATGTTTTCTTTTAACAAAAAGTTATTGTACCTCTGCTAGCTGGCAGGCACTTTTCTAAGCACTATGGATATAGTGTTGGACAGACAAGGCTGAGATAAACAAATAGAGAAAAGTTTTAAATATTATTAATAATAATTTAGATATGTCTTACCATAATGTAGAGCCGTTTGACCTTCATTGTCCTATAAAAGAAATAATAAATTTTAGAAGTCTAAATAATAATAAGAGCATTAAAGTATATAAGTTATACTCTGGAGTACAAGGTATATATGATATCTCAAACTTCCATAAGTTTATCAGACATAGTTGAGTCAGATGAGCCTCACAGTAGCTTTTGACCAAGCTCTCTGTCATGGAGAATAGGGAAATGTGAATGGCAACTTGGGTGTTGCAGCAGCTACAGCAGAATGATAGGATAATCAGATCTGCAGAGAAACCAAAGGAAGAGTTGGTTTAAGAAGTTAAAATGTAGCAGTTTGATCATCCAACTGGTGCAGAAAAACTGACACTGTATCATTTATGTTGATGAGCATTAGAATGCTTTTTTTCTAAGCTTCTTCCAAAATCTAAGAAGTGTGTGTTTTATAGTCAGAATGAGTTGATAGTTTTTTCATCCCTTCATCCTTTTCAAAGATTCACAAACTCCAGACTAATACTATTACAGGCTTTTAAAACTATGGCCATTAAATTGATTCGGACTCATAGTGATACTATAGAGTAGAACGGCTCCATAATGTTTCCAAGGCTGTAAATCTTTACAGAAGCAGATTGTCACATCTTTCTCCTGTGGAGTGGCTGGTCAAGCCGCTGACCTTTTGGTTGGCAGCCAAATACTTTAATGACTGCACTATCAGAGCTCTTATCGGTTTCTTAACCAGATAAAATATTATAAGGAAATGAAAAATATACAAAGTCCTAGAAGTTTGTTAAGAAAGCCAAACTTCTCATAGAATACCCCAGCATTTCAGTTAAATTTTTTTGTTTTAAAACCAAGATATTCTAATTATATATACTAATTACATCACAGATGAACATTCTTATTTTTATTTTTTTGAACGTTTTATTGTGACTCGGGGGAAAGTTTACAGAGCAAATTAATTTTCCACTCAACAATTTATACACATTTTGTTTCATGACATTAGTTGCAATCCCCTCAGTGTAACAGCATTCTTCCTACTCTCCTTGGGTACCTTCTTCCATTTGTTCTTCCTTCCTGTCCCTTCCTACCTTTACAGCTTTGTTTTTGGGCAAATTCTGCCCTTTTGATCTCATATGGTTGACTGTTCTGAGAAGCATGTTCCTCATGCACGTTACTACTGCTCGCTTTATTGAGCAGTCTGTTGTTTGACTGAAAGGTGATCTATAGGAGAAGGTTCAGTGCCAGGTTTGAAGGGTGTCTAAGGGCCTTAGTTTCAGGGGTTCCACCAGTCTCTATAAGGCCAGCAAGTCTGGTCTTCTTTATAGTTTGATTTATGGGGTCAATTAGGACCTTGGACTTCAATTTTCTTCACTCTTCTTTGTTCTGACAGGGAGAGACCAACAGTTTTATCTTAGATGGCTGCCCACAGATGAGTACATTTAGCAATGCTATTGCTTGAGAGCAGCCAATCACATTATGTGAACAAAAAATAATCAGGATTAAGCAAAGGTGAAAAGTAGAATTTATTATTAATTTGATATGTACTTAGTAATACACATGGCCATTATTATACCCCTGGCAATTAACTATGAATAACTTGCTGAGGTTGGTTTTATAACTTAAACCACACTAGCCCTGGGTACACTGTATCTGCCTATTCCACTTTCCAATAGCTGAGTGTGCTGTGGGGGATAGCTTTCAGAATTTTTTGGCTATAGTTTTCCCTATTTAATCCCTATGAAGGAAAGAAAGAAGCTGACATAGGGATCTTCTGGTTCACATAGGTAGTAAGAAAAAGCCACTCTTTTAAGAGCTACCTAAGGAGCTCTGGTGGTGTAGTGGTTAAGGCATTTGGCTGCTAACCCAAGGGTCAGTGGTTCAAACCCACTAGCCATTCCGTGGAAGAAAGATGAGGCTGTCTGCTTCCATAAAGATTCATAGCCTTGGAAAACCAGTGGGGGTTGCTATGAGTTGAAATTGACTTGATGGCAGTAGTTTGGTTTGGTTTGGTAAAAGCTTCTTAACACCTAGAGGTGCTTGGCAGAAATGACAACTGGTGGGAGTGGGGTGGAAGGGGGTACAACACTGAAAAACTATAGTTTAATTAGATTGTTTTCCTAAACCTGGAATGAAGGATCTGATTGGTGTGTGTATACTAATGGGAGGGGATACAGAAGAAGTAGTTTTGAGGGACCCTGGGGGTGGAGTGGCCTTGGCTGAGGCACAGCAGTGCCTAAGTTTGGGATGTGCATCGAGCATTACAAAGATAAACTATAAAGGGAGTAAAAGAAGGAAACCCACATCAGGGGGTGAGAAAGCCTAAGAAAAATTTCTGCCTCCTTCTTTCTTATCTTTTCTAGATACAGTTCCTACCCTGCTCCCCTTTGCCCTGCCCTGTTTCGAGGTTAAGGACAGGCAGGGGAGAAAGGTGAGGCTGTTACAGTGAACAGGATCTGAGTGATGCTAAGTCAGGGCAGCATGACAAGGCATTGTGTTTTGCAGTATTTTATCTCTTGGCTACAGCCAAGACTAATTCTGTAAGAATTACACCAAACATCATGGCTTAAGACTCCCAACCACTTTGCCAGTTTTCAATATTAATCAGTAAAAGTATATATAGATGTGCATACACACACACACATCCACATATACACATGTATGTGTGTCTATGTGTACTTATTTATACACTGACATTTATAGTTTAAATGTGAATGTCTGGCAACAGAAAGCAAGTTTCAGAAAGTTAATCTATTGCAATTCCAGGACTCTATTTATGCATCCATCATACAAATTATATTTTCCACAAACATCCATCTTAAGAAAACATCATTCTTTGATCATTTTGTGCTGAACTATGATCAAGGCAAAGGAAGGCACTAGAGTTAGGCAACAAAGGTGAATACTATTACATACATAGTCCTGCAACAACAATAGTAATGACAATAATCTATGAGTGGATATACAGATAAACACACAAGCTGAAAAGGTATGAGAAGGCTAATGGGACTCCACCCACAAATACACATATGTTAGAGGCTGTTTCTACAAATGTGCTGCAAATATGTTCATGAATATAATAGAGAATACAGAAGGCAAAGTGATGAAAACTCCTTACCCAAACAAAGTGATGAAAACTCCTTACCCAAACACTTCATACACAAGAGAATGAGGCACTAGGCCTGGGGACTCAGGACCATAGTGCTGGGGGACATCAAGGTCAACTGGCATAACATAGCCCACAAAGACAAGGTTTTACATCCTACTTTGGTGAGTATCTAGTGAGGTCTTAAAAACTTGTGAGCAGCCATCTAAGATGCAACTATTATTCTCTTCCCATCCAGAACAAAGAGGAGTGAAGAAAATCAAAAAGGAAAAGAAACAATTAGTTCTAAGAACTAACATGTGAATCACAGCCTTCATTAACCTAAGAACTAGAAGAATTAGAACTGCTGGCTGCTCTGAAAGGGATCACAATAGGAGGTTTTGGATAGAGTGAGAGAAAAATGTGGAACAAAACTCAAAATCATAAAAAAGACCAGTCTTGCTGGCCTTATAGAGACTGGTAGAACACCTGAGACTATGGCTCTTAGACACCCTTAAAGCCTAGAACTGAACTCACCATCCTGCTGAACTTTCAGCCAAACACAGGCCTATAAGGTGAAGAATAACACCAGGGAGGTATGCTCTCCTTAGAACAATCAATCATAGAGAGGAAAAAGGTAGCATTTGGCCAGGGATAAAGCTCAGAAGACAGAAAGGGATAGGAAAGAAGGAGAAATACGAATGGTTAACACAGAGAGGAAGTGGGAAGAGTGCTGTTACTTCATGGGATTGCAATCAATGTCACATGCACACATACACACACACAGATGTGTATGAATTGTTGAATGGAAAACTAATTTGCTCTGTTAACTTTTACCCAAATCACAATAAAAAGTGAAAACGAACAAACAAGCAAACCCACAATCAACTGATAACCACTACAGGAAATGCTGGAGAATGAAGAGTTAGAAGGGAGTGGGGAGAGGAAAGCATAGTTCTCTTGCTATTTGTGAGTAATTTTCATGCTTAATCACTGTGCTCATATAAACTCAAAGGTTATTTAGCTCCTTTCAGTTTCTAACTGCTTATTTTCACTAGGGAGGTGGAAGAAAAAAATAATTTATTCAAATCAATTTACCAATGAATATTAAACCTCCAGATTTACAAATTAATGAGGAATATTTATTACGTTCCTATCATGTACCATTTACTGTTCTAGGCGCTGGAATCACAGAGGTGCACGAGACAGACAAAGTCGCTGATGTCATAAATCTTATGTTCTAGTGGGAGGAGGCAATTAGCAAATAAATATATTTAATAATGTTGTTGTTGTCATTGCCGTTGAGTCAGACCCAACTCATAGCGACCCCTTCTTGGGTTTCCGAGGAGGTATCATTACGGAAGTAGATCGCCCAACCTTCCTTCCGAGGAATGGCTGTGATAAGTGCTCTGGAAACAGAAAGCTGGGGGGAGATGTACCTGCTATTTTAGATTGAATGGACAAGAAGGACTCTGTGGGAAGATGTGTTTACACAGTGACCTGGTGATGAGTCTAGGATGGTCACATGACCCAAGCTGTGCAAACCATAGTGTCCATCATCCTCTTGGTCTGGAAGTAACATGTGACTTGAGTAATGTCAATTAGAGTTTTCTCTCAGTACTTTTCAAAATGGAGCTGGAGGATGGAGGATGGAGATAGGACAAAACGCTATCTTCTTCGATCAAAGGTAAAGTTGTAAGGCTGTCAGCCAAGCATTTCAAGTGGCCATGTTCTCTTTTTAGAGAAAATCAGTCTGTAAGTGGACACAATGAAATAATCCCAAAAGAAAAAATAGAGGTGAGAGAAGAGAGTCTCTGGTTGCCATCATTTCAACTGTATCTCAGCCTTTCATGGTTAAGTGAGCCAACAACAAAATGCTCCTTAGACAAATGTGAATGTGTGTGTATA